GTTAACTCTTTTTCCCTTCACAGATGCTGCCAGACCTGCTGAGCTTTTCCAGCAAGATTTGAACTACCTCTGCCTTAAAAATATTCAATGAACCCTACCTTCACTCCTCTCTGGGGAAGATAGTTCAATATGCTCAAACCACTGTCCAAAATAATTCCTTCTCATCCCCATCTTAAATGGGAGACCACTTATTTTTAAACGTGTCCCAGTTTAACCACATCATCCTGCCCACAACTAGCAAGACAGCCAAACCAGCCAAATACCAACCCATTAGCCTGCTCTTGATCAGCAGAATTACGGATTGGTGTCACCAGTTATCAAGAGAATGAGACCTTGTTCAACAATACTCATTTTGGACTGAACCTGGACCACTCAGTGCATGGCTTCATCACAGCTTAGATCAAAACATGGAGAGACATGCTAAGTTTCAAAGTAACAAATAATCACCCTCAACACCGAGGCAGTGTTTCACATGGGGGCTCAAGAAGCCCTGCTAAGATTCGAGTTAATGGGAATGAAGATGGATTCACCTCTGGAATCGTACCTGGTCAAAGGAAGATGGCTATCACTATTAAAAACCAATTCTCTCACTTCTAGGACATCACTGCAAGAGTTTCTGAGAGAAGATATTTTCTTATCAACCTGTTCAGAGATGTTATTACACACCTCTGGAGCAGATGTGACTTAAATCCAGGCCTCCTGCTACAGTGGTAATATCCCTACCTCTGAGCCATGAAAGCCCTTTAGAATTGAAGTCTAGGGAAGAAGCCAACACCACTGGCCAATAGAGTCACTAAATACATGACCTGGGCACTGTTAGCACCATGTTCTAACCATCTGAGGTAGCCAGCCACCACTTACAAAGTGATACTGCACCCAAGTGGGCAGAGCTAAGTCTTTAGCCTGCCTGCAGCATCAGCACTGAACTGGTCTGTCACAGGAATCCCACCTTCAGGTGCCTGAACGAGCTATTTTCTAATTAACCTATTAGAGATGTTCTGACATTGCTCTGAAACAGATGGGACTTGAACCCAGGCTTCCTGATCCAGTAGCAGTGACACAGCATAAGGGTCCCAATAAGTTCCTCAGGGCAATGTCCAAGGCCCAGCTGCCTTCAGCTGTTTCAACTCCTTCTCTTCATTATAAAAAGGTCAGATGTGGTGATACTTGTTGACAATTGCACAATGTTCAGATTCCTTCACACTTTCTCAGATGGTAAAGTAGTAGTGCAGCAGGACTTGGATTCCATTCAGGCTGATAAGTGTCAAGTAACATTTTGTCACACAATGCTTTTGCTAACAAGAAAAACCAACTACTTTCCCTTAGCATTCATTAGCATGACCAGCACCATATCCCTCACCATCATCATTGGTGATACATCGCAGACAAGGATAACTCTCTTCCACGCTCATGCTGAGTCTGTAGACTAACGCAGCTTCCGCAGGCTCTATTACACTTGGGACAGAAGGTGGTAGTGGGAAAGCGTGGGACGAGAGTTGGTGTAGCAGCACACTCGTTATGCTGTTTTTGCCCAGCTTCTGCATTTTCCCCCAATGGCAAGTTTCAAAGTGCTCAACACCTTTCCAGGTCCTCCACTCTGGACAGTCTTGGGCCGGTGACTGGGGGAATGCCACAATTCACCAGTGAGGTCTTGAGGATATCACTGAAACACTTTTTCTGTCCACCTGGGCTCACCTGCCATTTTGGAGCTGGGAGCAGAGTACCTGCTTGGGGAGTCTTGTGTCAGTCATGCGGACAACATGCCCAGCCCATCAAAGGTAGTCAGTGCCTCGATGCTCAGACAGTTTGCCTGGTCATGGAGGCTGGCATTGGTGCGTCGCTCTTCCCAGCAGATTCACGGAATCTTGCGCAGTCAGTGTTGGTGGTACTGCTCCAACACCTCGAGGTGTCTGTTGTAGATAGTCCAACATCTCAGAGCCCAAAGATCACCTGTGATCAGAAACTTAACTGGAACAGCCATAAAGACGCTGTGAATACAAATAAAAGGTCCGAGGCTGTATTTTCTGCAGCACGTGACTGGCTTGAGGTTTAGCTCAGGCCCCCAAAGCCTACCATCTAAATAGTATAAATCATAAGAGTTACCAACTACTCCCCACTTGCCAGAATAATAGCTGCTCCAAAAACAATCAAAGAAGTTTTGACTCCATTCAAGCCAAAAGGCACCCCCTTAACTGGCACCAATCCACCACTTTAAACATTCTCTCCCTCCACCCTGTGCATAGTGGCAGCCACGTGTATTTTGTGCAATTAGCCTCGCAACAAACCCACCAGGAATTTGCCAACAGCACCTCCCAAAACAGCAACATCAACCAACTGGATTTAGAAGGGACAGGAGGCACTCTACCCACTGCAAGTTGCACCCCAGGCCACACACCATCCTAACTCACGTTCTCTGAAATACCTCTGTGAAATACACCGTTGTCACTGGGTATAAGAGCAGGAATTCCCTCCATAACAACGTTATGTTAGCAAATGGACTACAGGGAGTACAGTGGTTCAAGGCGGCAGCTCGATACGAACCACTTCTCAAGGCCGACAGCAATCCACCTCCTGCGAATGTGTAAAATCAGAAGTTAAAATAAAAACCACAGGCTCATTTGCACGGCCTTGTAGACGACGGTGACAAAAACGGTACAAAACAGATTCAAATACCTGTGGGTCGAACAGGAGCTGGACTTAAGGCACATTTTTTAAACGGAATATATTAATTAAAGAGGCCGAGCGGACTCAATACCTACAGGCTTGTTGTCGGTATTTGCATTCCTGTCTCGGTTTCTGGGTCTGTTTTTCCGTCTCCCCATACTGCGGACAACGGAGAAGAACCGAAAAAACGTGATTCTCACAACCGGGCGCAGATGGAATTGAACTGGAGTAGGCCACAGCGGTTCCGAGAGTGGAGCACACGGCGGAAAGACTGGAGCTGGATCCAAAACCGGAGTGGAGCACACGGCGGAAAGACTGGAGCTGGATCCAAAACCGGAGTGGAGCACACGGCGGAAACACTGGAGCCGGATCCGAAA